GACTCAATACATAGTCGTCGTTTTGGAACTGGAGGCCAGGAAAGTCCGACTGGGTTGACGGGATTTAAATCGGATCAATGCGGCTTTGAGGTTGTTTGTCTGTTTCTCAGGATCTCTAAGCAAAGGCTGTGCAGAAGTGGCTCTACTGAGGCCCCTTTCTTTGTCACCCTAAGGCTTCATCGCCTTTCTGTTCTTCTTTTCGTTTGGAGATCTACAGAACGCGACGTTAGCTTTGGCGCCTGATTGTACGACATCGCCTGAGAGCGGAATTCACCGTGCACAGAGGGTAGGTCCCTGACGTCGGAAGTTGGCACCCGTTCCACGCGAATGACCGATGCCCAATTGAGTGACTGGTGGTTGCGTCCAACACGTAGTGGTTCTGATCGCGGATCGTACCGGCTTGTAAGAAAACAAGGCCAGATTTTTGAGGCCTCGTTCTTTTAGCAAGATCATACGTAAGAATGCGCAGCACGGAGTAAGAGACCAAGGGGTGCGGTGTTGTTGAAAAAAAGAAGCTTTTTTATTTGAACGATCATGGAGTTCCATCGGCAAGTGCATCTATGCGTGGCCTTGCGTTGATGGAGGTTCAATAAGACGTTGCCACGATGTGATCGAGCAAGGAGCAGTCACGAGCTCTGCATGGCTGTTGGAGCGGACTGTTGGGCGCTCCGGTATCTGCCACTGACGATGGACTACAGTCGAACGCACGAAATTGTTGGCTCGAGTTTGCAAAGCACGTGGGATAGAAGGAATGGAAATGTAGGGGAAGCCAAGGCAGACCCATTGATACGGGACCGAACGACCTGTATCTACGCAACGTTTATATAGATATAAAAATATCATATAATAGCAAAAGTTGTTGCATCGGAGCCTATGATGGGCCGAAAAGTCAACCTGATATTTCGCTGAGTGAACGAAACTGATTATTCAATGCGATTGTAAAAAAATATATACAAACTCATATAGATATATATATATATATATATATATATATATATATATATATATATATATATATATATATATATATGAGTTTGTATATATTTTGCTATATGTATATATATAGCATATGTTTCTTTTTTATTGAAGTTAAATATACATATTTCTGCTACCGTTCACTTGCACCGTATACAGGAATCTTCGTGAAATACAACTCTATTTCGATCGCCGCAAATCGGTGGGCGTGTAATAAATCTTGGTGAGATATTCGAAATATTAACATATTTCATTAAAATATTGAGCCTTAAGAGCATGGATCCTACTTGTTCAAATTATTAGGACTCTAGGTGGCCCAAATTTTCCCATAACGAGGTTGTCTCATTATTGTGAGTCCTTCTCCTACGTCTTGGGCTTTTCGCTAGATTAGGGCGCTTGTTCAAACCGTCCCTTTGCAGGATAAGCCTATGCGATCTTTCATCAGCATAGTCTTTCACCGAAGCGTGCGGAAATCTAAAACAGGCTTATATTTTCAAGCGCTATAAGACCTTGAAACGACACCCTCATAGGCAAGAAAGCTCGAGCCCCTAAAGCTCTCTTGTATCCAGTTCTTTACGATAAATTGTCTAAAAAAAGGTAGCCCAGAACTTCCTCTAAGACTGAGCGTAGGCTTTCCGTCGACGGTCTCCTCTCGTCAATTACCCTAGATCCACCCCATTTCACAAGCACCGTCGAAGACTTCGCCTCCAGGTACAGCTGGTCACACTATGGTTTGCATTACTTTGGCATTTTCCTCCTGTGCAGACATTACGGCGTTCTTAAATAAACGAACGGAGCATCCGTGAAAGCGATTCATTTATCATAGACCTATCCTCGTACCTTTACTTCATGTTTTTAACTACATGCCACCGAGGACGTGCTTAGATTTAAAGAAATATAATCTGATGTAGCGAGCTCTGGGCTTTGCCCAAGAAATGTAGGTCCATAGACTGTCAAAATCTCCCGAAATGTTAAAAGCGCATAAAGTCTACTGTTATCGTGTAAAAAGATTATTTGTTTAGTTTTTGATCGCGCAGAGTGCCTTAGGTGGCTAGGTCATATTTTGATTGAAGTCCAGCGTCATCTGCCTTTTGCAAAGGATGCTTTGTGGTTCGGATCTGAATTTCCAGATTGGAAGCTCTGAAAGCAATCTCAGCCAATGTTATCATATTCTCAATCTCATACCTAATTTGTGTTGCATTTTTCCGAGCTTAAAAGTAGAAGAACGTAGCAACAGTTATATAGTCGGTAGCTTCTACGTTATGATCATGCATAATATTGGTAAGTCAGCTAAAATGTAAAAATACGGCAAACGCAGCTTGGTTCGGAAGTTTAAAGCCAGATGAAGAAGTACTGATGAACCACACTACACTGCCCATGCAGTATCGGACGTGAAACCTGTTGAAACTCGAGCAAGGTTTCAACGTTGCCAAATTGCTTTCTGTCCGGCCTGTAATAATATTCCTATGTATTTAGATATAAATGTGCATCTGACAAATATAATTTAAGGTTTAACAATTAGGAACGTTTGAGCTGCATATATATCCCGTAGAGCTTGCTTACGTACTTGAAATTGAGTAGATTTATTATATAATAGCCTTACTGAGCTATAAAGAGGCGCATTTATGTAAGCACCGCTGTATAGGTTGATTAAGTAGTCATATTGCAGAGCTACTGTTTATTGAAGTATTTGTGCGTCTAATTTTATATCGAAGGTTTGGGGTAGTAAAAAAAGGTCGAATTTAATGCGACTTATATTGCAAAAAAACGATACGCCGATTTGTCCACATATTGATATCATAGTGGCGGATTTTGTGGAAACCTCATAAAAAGGTTTATGCAGCAATAAGAGCTGACACCTAATGCAGTGCGATGAAAACGAGAAGTGAAATAAGTCGATAACTGTTTCAAATAGCAAGTCGTTTTATTAATGTTTATATCCTATAAACCTTAGTCTTAATAGGTGTTTATAAGATCACAAAAAAAAACGCTAAATACAAAAACTAAAATACATACCGCTATTCGTCACACCGTATGTCGATATCGTGTGCTATCTTCTATCGACAGTAAAGGGGTGCGCGCATTGATCAGTGGAGTCATGAAAGTATACAGCCCCTAGATATGACTTAGTCTGCAAATAGAGTTCATAAGCCAAGCAATTGAAATCTGTCCGCTGAAACTTTTTGAATATCATTTCTGATTCAAGTCCATCGTTTAGCAAACAACCGTAAAAATATCATTGTTTAGTAATGCTGATACCGTTTAAGAGAGAGACGGGTAAAAAAAAGTAATCGAAATCCTCTTGCGCTGTTAATGTGCCGGTCGCCCTCTTTGTTTTCTATTTGGTTCACGAAGAAAGACGGTCGTTTATTTATGGAAAAAAAGAATGAAGGACGTCCAGATGTCGTTTCGAGATCATGATCAGCAAGAGTCCATAGGGCACACACGCACACTCTGACAGGAACAATGGCTGACTTTCTCGTTGCGACGTCCCTGATCACAGTTTAGATGACAAGTTCGAATCAGACAGTAGACATCGAGGGGGAACAGCTGGAGGCCAAACGGGCTTCTGTTGGCCGTTGCTCCAGAGACCAGTAACCCGAATAAAACAAATTACCAGAAAATGACCTAAATACTGATCCGTTCTGGTTTCTATTCGAGACCGTGAACTATATCCGGCAGCGTTCGACTCTACGCTCGGTTCCGATCTGGTCTTTCACTGATGCTTCACATTCGTCGACCTAATTTGACCGCACCCAACGTCCGCGAGTGCCCTCCGATAATTCACTCTTTTTACCCTGCTATGATTGATACTTGACATCAAGAGCAAACAACTGCGTCATCGAAACGATTTAATGATTCGAGACTAGATGTACGGGATAAAAATGAAAAATACGCAAGGTCGAGTGTTGTGCATAACTTTCTATTGCCCCTCTTTATAATTCCTATTCTGGTGCTTTAATATTAATCTTGCTGGCATGTAAAGGGTAGGGATTTACTGTGCTGAATCATTTCGGGGTCCGCACGTTTTGGTCCTCAGTATCTGACAAGAGTTAATCACAGCCAGCGCGGTCTTTGTCACGGAGATAAACGGGGCTTGATTACAAGACCACCGCGGTTCCTGGCCCTGGAACCATGTCATGCCGTGGAATCTGGGTAAGCCGGCACATTCCAATGAGCAAGTAGTGCTTCTCATAGCTAGCCCCCCCCCCCCCCCCCCTTCTTTGGCTTCTTTGGTTGCCGCCGGTCGGCTGGCTTTTGAAAACGCACATATTGCCTTAGTGGCGTGGAAGCTCTGGTGTGGAAGTTCGATACTTCTCTCTTAATTTCTCTTTCGTCGCAGCCCATTTGCATCGAGATTCCGTTCGCAAGCCTGTCCTCTGTGTACTCTTTTTTCATGCGTCTTCTATCTCAAGTTTAGCTATGTAGCCCTTCTTCGGTCCATCGCCCGTCGTGTATTTCGTTCCCTCGCCACACTTGCCTTAAACGCCCTTATTCCATCAACTTCTTAATACAAGAAGGCCCTTCACTGTAAGAACAGACTGAAGGAAGTAAGCGTAAGTTCGTTCACGGCCGGCGTCAATGTTCATCACCATTTTGACTCGCTGATACCACCCGGATCTCCGGCACCATCCGCGGTGTCCAACCCAAATGAGTTGTGAGTTCTGAATTCAAATCGAGTGATGGGTTGTAGCTGCCTGCAGCTAGTAACACGTCAGGCAATGGAACAGTATAGCGTGGAAAGGCCGATGTTTTTACCCGAGCGGGGACGAGAAGTGAGAGTGAGAATATTTCGTACTTGCAGGATCTTTGGCAGGCGAAAGTTTAATTGAACTTTCTGTTTAATCTTTATAGTCATCAACACTTTGATCGAAGTGATTATATAAAGAATCTATTAAAGATTAAACAGAGTCATTATGTGTCTCTTTGTTATATAATAATATGTTAAGGTGTGTTTCACTCAGTGACGGCTTCTAGCAGTAGTAGAAAAAAAAAAAATTTTTAAATTTATATAAAAAAAAAAAGCAAATTTTATTTTGATTTTTTTTTTACCAAATATTAGTTAAATCTACGAAACTTACCACTAACAATAACGAGATAACTTAGAGATTGAAAAATATTGTTTAGTGGCCTACAACCACAGGATCATTATTCATAGAACTGACCCATTTGATGAAATGAGTGCGATTTGTTATTGTATCTCTAGAGCGGTATTAAGACTTGTTAGTGTAACTTGTCATGACGTTTGACATGACTGATCCAAAAATTATAACGGCTTGTAGAAAAAATTTTTTTAGCTAAAGAATATTAAACAAAGGCAGGTGTCCTAGGTTTAATTTACTATTAATAATTCGTAGATAGCTGCCTGTGTCAAATATCATATTTGAGACGCCCTCTAGGCTCCATTATGCCCGCTGGCAACTTGCTTGTATCTAACCTAATCTTGTTTTTTGTTGTGATAGCAATATAATAATAATATTAGAACGATCTAGATAGAACCATCTTTACCTTATATATCTAGAAAATATTATATTGGTCAGAAAGTAATTTCATTTTTTGTATTTATATTAAAGGCTGCTTAATGTTTATACATGCATTTTTTTTTGGTTTCTAATAGCCTTTCTCTACCATGCGAACACTAAACAGGCTCTCTAGCGAACTAAGAAGGCGTTCACGGGTTCACAATCTGGGTTGAAAGACTGGCTGCAAAAGAATTCCGTTTAAGGTCAAGGTCGCTTAATTCTCAAGGCCGCTAAAGTCACGTATGGCTAAATGTTGTTTTACAACAAAAACATCGACCAGTCTTTAACCTCGTAAGATTTTTTATACAACCAAATTTTCGTTAAACATCGTTTTTCCTTTCCGATACCGACCGGGTGGGTGTACGAAATGACTCCTTTTCCCGTGCCGCGAGATGCATATGATGTTTATACCATCGAGAATGCCACCTCTGCTGGGTTCCTGCGAATCGAATTTCTCCTTGTCTTCAAAACCTCTTCTGGCGGATGCAGGTAATTTTGGACGATGCGGGAAATAACTCTTAATTGCGCACGGAGGTATTGAGTAGGCTAGGTAAAAATTTTTACACAATAAATCCATGTTATCCTCCTTGTACGGCTTAGAAACGTAGTCTCTCATTCGCCTTTAGCATTGAAGACCTGAAGCCACCCCCCAGGAAATGCTGACCTTGTTACTTCAGGACGGATGTAGTAAAGAAAGCAACCTTAAATATGCAGTTTTTCGGTCATACGATGTAATCCCGTAGTCATAACTGCAGACAATCCGTAAACACTGCAGGAAACCAACAGTAAAAAAGTATTTTAGAAAAACGACAAACTAGGTTTCAAGCCAAACAAGTAATTAAGAATACAGCCAGCGAAGTTAACAACTTGCCGAAATTACTTTCTAACTTAATAATATTAGTATTCTGTCTGCATTTTGTTTAATTCTTTGCAAGAATTGCATGCCAATTATTTGGTATAAGGGAACAGTTTAAGCTCAGATACTTTTTTTTAAATACTACTAATTTTCTTATTATAGATTAAACACATTTTTATGATAAATGAACAATCTTAACTTAGAAACCTTACGTCCAATGCACGATAAAGGGCACAGCGACAGAAGGTCACATAGACGTTCAAATACACCTGCCCATTTAGTTCACTTATCATGCTTTAGTAACATCTGAAGATGTTTTATACTATATCTAGCATGGGCTTCCGGGCATTGCTTGTAGAAGATGCTGAAATATCGACTAGAGTGCGCAAATTGTTGTTTTTGTTTCAGTAATTATTCATAATGAATTTACATAGACTGGAGGGTAAAAACTAAGCTGACTAAATTATCTGTCGACCTTTAACAATACGTTTATAACAGAGTCACGCAGGTCCCTAACAATATAAACATTCTGCTATAAATTAAATCACAAAGTAAAATTTATTTTGGACTTGGATGGCTTGGCACCGATATGCGAACTTGCCTATCCACATAATATCGACGTACGCCTTGCGGACATTATGCTGAGTTATCCATACGCGTCACCATGTGTCTGTGAGTGTATGTATATTATCGTCTTAGTAACACGGAGATGGATGTAACAGTTGAGGAACTAGCTCACCTCTTCTAGCCGGTCGGCGTAGCGGCAGCAGCCCGATGCATAAGTGGAGGTATGCAATGAGAAGTTTGATGGAGGACTAGAGTACTGAAAGATTTGGGACGCGGTTTAAGGCCAGCCGATCGCTGAACCCGTCCTTAGTCTTATTTTCCTATAACTCCCTTGCTTGTAACCAAGCCTCGATGGGGCTCGTCCAATATTTGGCCATAATCGATCGTACCAGTGGAGTAACCAGAGTACTCGAAACGACTGAGCAACCAATACACACACGTCCGCAGCGAATGCGGGAGAGGGGAGGAACAGAATGGAGAAGCCGGTAGGGAAAACGATCCGTCCCATTCCGCATTGAGCTCTCTTTCTGTCTTTATTCGTTTTCCCACTGCCACTGCTATCATGCAGCAGGCAAGCAACTATGACGATTGAGGGAACACACCCAGCGGGCTGCCAGCAAGACCTAAAAGTTTAGACGTCTCCCGTCGCCCGCTATAAACGAAGCAAACACAGAAGAAAACGAAGAACCTAGTCCGGACGGGCTTTGCCTCTAGAGTCTAAGCCGAAACAGTCCCTCAATCAAAAAGGGGTGAATGACTTGGAGATGTGGGCTTAGAAGACACTCAGAGCTGGCGGGGATGACGAAAAAGGGCACCTAGTTACTTCTGAAGCCCCACAAGCGATTCACGGCGAATTGGTGGGGGCAGGACAACGGAACGGAAGTGAAGAACGCTAGCATAGAGAGGCAAAGAGGCACATAGCGAAAGACTGATTGGGTATGCGGCGCTCATCAAGTGGCGCCGAAGCCCGTGCCGTAGTTGCGGCTGTTGTGGACGGACTGCTGTGTGGCACAAATATTGACTTACCAACTTGCAAGTGCGCAGGCAAGAACGGGACCCACCTATGGAAGACCGTCGAACGGAGTGGAGCGCCTTGGCTTCACCGACTGGATAGCTAGCTAGACAGACCGTGCACGCGACATAGGACTGTTACAACACCTAGAATAGGGCAAGGCTAAGCGAAACTAGAAAAAGGAACTCTGCTACTAACCCCCCGAAAACGGCATCGAAACCTTTGTCCCTCCCGACACATACACTGCGTTACAGGGCTATAAACCAGTCTCGTACACTTGCGCGCGTACACATTCACCCAAACTTAGCATCTGCCAATAGATAATCGGCCACGGCAATACATCGAAATAAATAGGTGTAAAATCCGAAATTTATAAAGCTTATCCAAATGACTTATACGTAGATAAAAATCGGCAATTGCTGTATCAAGCTTCAGAAGAATTGTATACTTCATATTAACTGTTGTTTATTTACTTAGTTAATATGATGTGATAATATCAACGGTACTTGACGTTGATTTTTACAGTTTTCCTTAAGCTAATAGATATATTTTTAGCATTAAGTTGCAAATAATGTTCGTCTTTTTTTGCTTCAATATAAAGAGACAGTATTTTACTCGAATTGTAGAAACAAATCAAGATATCGTGTACTTGCCGTCACATTCTACGACCTTTTCGCATCCCTCAACCTAACCAATCTATTGATTCCCTTTCGTCAGAACCTTCGAGCCTAGCAATGAAAAACTCAGTTAATTCATTTTTGAGACCTTGTTATTTCGAAATAGATTATTACCACTAATTAGGAAATTCGGTAAGCCGCCAGCACGAAGTCCAGATAATACCGGAAGTGCAAAAGGACCTTCTCTTGATGTAGAGAAGGACGACTTTACCTAGTTTATTGGGTCTTTTCTATTGTATAGGCTTGTTCGTTAGATGCAATTGGGTTACTGTATACATATCGTTGTTTATAGCTTTCTATTCTATGCATTTATTGGTTTCACTTCTTTCAGTTCGGGTGTTGGATTAAGAGCTAAAAGACAATTAAAGACGGTGTTTGACCACTTAGCTTAGGAACTTAGATCTCATACATTTAATATAAACCTATTGCATAAATCTTGTATATTCGAAATATCTGTCAATAACCCTATGGCTGCAGTCCATCTTCTCTACCAATTCTGCTTTATTCTTCTGCCATCGTTCTTCAAAAATGCCTATAGGAATACCTCATCAACTTCGAATGTCTTAGAGAATGGAGTCCATCCTTCAGTTCCAATTTCGCAAACTATCTTTGAGTAGTCGTCTGACGCGTGGAATTTGCACTATAAACGGCAAAAATATTTCGGGTTGTTTCAACACTACTTTGTAACCTCCACACTGGTGGAATAGCTGAGGGCTCCAAAAAAGAACTTCCTCGCTAGCGATACCCATTTTTCGAGCTCAAACTTTAGCTAAAATTCAGTTCATTGCGCAGTGAAATCACGACAGACTTCTAAAGCAGAGAACGTTTACAGAAACAAAAGTTACGAGGGAACGGGAACATTTAAAAGTCCGCCACAATATAACGTATACACATATTTTTTTCAATCTTTGCCGTCAGTTTCGTTGGCTAGTGTAACGACATTTTGAAACGCGCTAGATAAGCAAGATGATAAAGTTTACCGTTAACGTTCAATAATTATCACGTGTATGTTGTTATCTGGGTGCTAAGATCAGAGCAACTTTACTGTAGCTCCTTGCGTCCAAGGTTCTGATATAGAGCAGGCACTAGACTAGTGATCATTCCAAGCAGTACTACCTGTATATAACCTCAGTACTTACCTGTATACTTCATGGTAGAACTACAATCGTATTTGAGCAAAGTATCTACTTAATCGGTGCACGTCTTATATTTGCAGGCCGAGGCATCGTCACGATATAATATTCTTCTATACGATATGAATTATTCGTATGCAATACGCATGCTGTCTGACTTCCTATTTCTGTTTCTATAAACTCTTGTCTAGTCCAACGGCCCAATGGCGGATTTAACTTTAAACAGGATTCTAACGAAAATGTACTCGTTGCGTTCAACTTACTTCTGAGTTACTGTTAATGTCGCTGTTGTTCGCGACTCGTTAGCAAAGTAACCTTAAAGCTGAGAATGATTCGCCTTAGTGTCCGGTGTCCCGCAATTACGATTTCGTTAACATTTTTCTTCCAAAACAGACCTCAGGAACAGCGGATGCTGCTAGTATTGCCATAAGCGTTGCGAATTAGGGAAACTCCCTGCAGTCAATGAGCGAGGCCTGATGAGATAAGGGACAACATGGAAACAGACAGGCTATAAGCAAGGGGTTCACTCCTCCAGATCTTATTATACTGGCTAGATATTGCAGCGTCATGTGTACGCGGCATATGCGGAGACATGTGTATGTGATCTTGCATATGCCCCACCAGGTCGACCAGCCACCCTCTTGTTTCCACGCCCACGGGGCGTCGGTGACGGCTTGCTTCGTCTCTGCAGAAAACCGATTTGTTGCTAGACAACATAGCAAAGGTGGCGAGCATTAGCACTAGTGCAGACCATCACTAGTGATCTCGATTAATATAGTAAAATGTTGTTTAGGCTCGGTTGTGAACCCATACGATTCTATTTAGTCGAATATACATATATATATTATTATTTTTTGTTTTTTTGTCAAGATTAATACATTTGTACGGAACATCACCCACTGTTTGTTTATTCCAACAAACACAATACAAAGGGTTCCACTTGTAATTTCAGAAATATTATACGTATGAAGATTATAAAATAGGCTTTTAAATAATAAGCCTCGAAACGGAGTAAACTAAAATAAAGTGAGTATCGTTTTTTAGACACAGTCGTTTGTGGAACGGGGTGAAGTTATTTTTATTGTATATTTCTCTATATACAGTAAACAATAGGCTTACTGAGGAAAGCATCAGGCATCGAACAATTGTTTACCGCGCCTACACAATCTATAAACATAGGATATGATGACACTTGTATCATTTACCTTTCAAACATAGAATATGTAGACGGAGTTTATTTCACATGAAAGTATAAGGGCAAGCAACGTGCGCGATTTCACTTGAACGGCCTGTCTAGCTGATGGTTCTGCTGTAAATGCAGGAATTTAATTAAATTTCAATGGCCGTTTTTCGCTGGTACTAGCACTGGTGACTGTATAGTTATCTTCAAGACGAACGTTTCTCTTCGGTCTTATTTATTCACTCGGGAACAATTGTTCGTGGAGTTGGTCGTCCATTGGAGCACGACGGGCATCGTGCCACATTCTGCTTCTACATTCACCTTACTATTGAGTACTACTGTTCAGCTGGCCGTTATAAACGCGCCGTTTTTGTACGACTCGGATCGCGGCCATAAAAGGAATTGCGTGTAGGATGCAGTGATGGCAGCGCGGTCATGGTGAACATAATATTACATCGTCGACCGTAACTGAGCAGTCCACACGCCGCACCAGGCGAAGCCCCCGCTATGTTGTCGCTATATACCTTATACGCCTATAATAGTGTGTGTAAGACGCCTGGCACAGCACACGCATTACGCTGTTAGGGATAGGAGATAAACGAGGCACCCTCTCCCCACTTCCAGTAGAGGCAGGTGCGCCTACATATATATATGACTTTTTGCACGCGGTTATGGGAGAAGAGGAGGCTGCGGAATAGGCGTCCTGAAATGACTTATTCTCTGTCCTGATGTAGAAAAGTCCAGACATGAGCCAGTCATTCTATTTAGGGTTGATGATTACCTTTTTAGCGCTGCACTCGTTTCGAATTTTCGTCCCATCTCTCGCTCCTTCGCTTGGTTTTTCGTTTCTCCATGACTCAGGAAATATTCTGGTCTCTCGTTTGAGCAGAGCACCTGTTACTTTCGCCATTAAATGGTCCAATTCCCAGTGTCAAGTTGTAGCGCTTACATGACAACCCGGTCGTACCAATGGACGCGTGCCGTTTGGAATAGCGGTGCTGAGTGCTGTGTTAGAGGATGTGGCAGCTCGGCCAGCCCAGCGGGAATGGAACAAAGCTCCTTAAAGTACGAAAACTGTAAACAATGAGTCAGAGCTAGCGGGAACAGGTCAAGCCAGCGTATGTCTGTGCATATTACTTAGGAATCGATAGTAATGGAATGCATCCACCAGGCGATTACATGTACCCCTTGCCCAAAGTTTGAAAAAAATATAATATTTTCCTTTGATAGGATTTGTTTGAGTCAGTAGCGTATCTGTCTGTGTAGCACGCCCACCAGATGTCCAGTGAGTATGCATTTATGTACTTCTGTAACATGTTTATCTGCCTAACAGTGTCGAGAAGCTTTCCTTGGCTGCCTCCGATCACTCTTTCAGCGTCTGCCTTGAGCAGAAAATGATACTGTTACCGAAGTTCTTGAGGAAATAGACTTTCGATATTTTTGGAAATTAACGTTTTCTGTTATAAACACAAGTTTTGCTCTGAGACGATACGAATTCAATCGGTAGTGCTACGTTTGCTTCGTCTATAGTAAACACGCACGTTCCGGACCATATTACGCGACCAGTTTTACAGTAATTATTAACCTTCATCTTAAATGAATATAAAAGGGTCTATTGATCAATGCCGCTACGGTGATATCGCTCTATCATTTATCTGTACTCATTACCAAATCTACTTCATTAACTTGTTGACGGTCTATTGAAGGCGCTGAAGTCGCATATACATTATACTGTAACGTGTATATCATTAGGCTGACAATTTACATATGGCGCTTTTATAGAATGGGAAATAGATCGCACATTGATAAGAAATAGATATACGTAAACTATCTATATTATCCATATTGTATAGAAAGCATGTCTATGTGCGATATAGGAAAATACGGATAATTTTCCTAGAAAGCGAATTTGTATAAATAAAAATAATATCGTTAACTGCGTAGAGACTCCACTAGAAAATAAAATTGAAGCAATTTGTTTGCTGTTATCTTCAAATAAAGATCCTTGCCGACATAATTCTAATGGAAATATAAAAGATGAATCGTTAAATACATTCCGAAAATCGGTAAAAGAAAGCTTTTTACCGATTTTCGGTTAGTGCAGCAGCCAAGACGTTAAGAAGACAAACGACGGCAACAAAAAAAAAGACCGAACTTAATAGAATTTGGCATAGTATGAATCAGAAGCGTTAACCGTTTTTTAGCGTTAGTAGCATATATATATATATATATATATATATATATATATATATTAACAGCCTTCGTAGACGTTCGTGCCATCAAGTTGTGAAAATTTTAATTTCTGTCGTAGTAGTGGTATTGAACTTCCAATGTCTCAGTCTCCATAAACCTTTGTTTACGAGAAAAAAACATCTATAACCCATATCGCGCGAATGCGCTACTTGTCATACAAGCAACGGTAATCGCACTCACCGCTCGCTATGACCGCAACTATTTTCCCGTTTGTTTTCCTCCATATGACTTGGTTTTCAACAGCAGCCGCTATACTTTAACAAGCAGCTTGTAATGTTGAGCTTAGGTCAGTGAATAGGAAGACTGCGACGAGACGACCGACAGTTCTCTAACGTTGTCGCATGACCGTACGCAGCATCAATAACCATCATCATCACGGCGATCTGTTACTGCACGGTGCTAGTCCAGGCCAAACTGACGCTGCTTTTAGCTTCTAGCGTCTGCCCGCTACCGCTCCTACAAGTGAAGCAATACAGGATAACTTCTTTCATGAAAAATAGGTCTCGAAGGACATTCAGTAGGACACCAACTAACCATGGCTAGTTGGTTCGCTGAAGGAAAGCCTCGTTTGTTTACCGAGACGACGACTAACAGTAGCCGGATGACGGCTGCTGATGCTACTGAGTGGCGGCTTTCGCATGGACAAAGTGTATAGGCGGACTTCTTTGCCCCAAGAGGGGTAGAAGGTCCACTAGCACCGGAACGGGACGCACAACGAAGGGCGTGAATATATCCATGGATATCCGAAGTAAGGACTAGCAGTTAGCGCGCAAGCTAGTCAAGACCGACGGACATCAGGCCGCAGACGGGTCGACCGCGGCAACCAACAAGCGAAACAACGAGGGGTTATCATAAGGACAGGAACTCTCAATGGATAGATCCCTTTTGCTCTCTACTTCTTTTTATTTGCCCTTCTTCTGTTCACTATTGGAAACAAAGCACTGGAGCAGCACTACTAGGATAGAATAGTTCAGCTATCAGCGAAAAATGCTGCGACGGTACGCACCTCACGAGCTCTGGGGCCGTTTTCTGTCGCCGACCGACAAAAACAAAGAACAATATGTAATTATAATAAACAGACACGATGGACCTTGACGCAGCGCATTTGGCACGATACACGAGCAGAGATCGGTAGGAAGAACAACCAAATGCATATATATATATCGTACCAGCTTGTGCAGTAGTTTCTTTTATCACAGAATCCAATACTTGAAGGGGGCTGTAGGCCGACAGAATCAGATTGGTTCGCAGGGCGCAAAATGAAAATGTTTTTCAAAATATTTGCTCATATTTGTCATTCAGTTTAAAGGTAAACTAAGTGGCTAAGCTGGCATTCGCGGTCTTTTCTTTGTAAATGTTAAATCTCTTCGATCAATGAGTCATCCATGTATTGTTTGTGCCATTCCATTGAAGAAATCATTGTTTATATAGCTTTGTACGAACGTTTCTGTTAGTTACGGATGGCGTCTGGTGGCTACACCTTATTGAGAAGTATTTTTGCTAAAAATTACTTCTAAAAATTTTTCGCTATATTATCTTTACCTGTCACAATCCGAACAGTTCTCACATAAGAGGAAAAATACTGGAACTATATGAACTTTACTATATTATCTCTAATATATAGATCATTTTCGATGATAGTTTGGTATTCATGTAAATTTTCATTTAGAAATAGGCTCATATTCTTATACGACTATTATCAATCAACACTTACTCTTTAAAACAATAGGCACGTGCCACTAGGTACAGGTCACAATATGTTGCCCACGGCCAACGTATACGGAGCCAAAGGTACAAAGCATGAGTGTGCAATTAGTTTTCAATTTTCTTTTAAGGTTAAGACGTCATCCGGAAATTTCTGTTATTCATGATTTACGTATCGTACTCTTCTGGCCTAGATATCACGTACATTATGCATGCAATACGTTAACATATAACTAACATATCTGACACTCGTCCAATCCTATAAATATTAACCGATAACATGACTTTTTTCCATCCTCTAAAAAGTTCTCGAGTATACACAACAGAAGTCCTATAATGTTATTGCTAGCTGACGCAAAGGCTTATTCTACAGAAATTTTTATAGTTGACGTTCCTTAAACATAGCTAGGACCAACCGGACAGAGTGCCTCGTTGACGGCATGAACAGATAGTCTTGTTCGAGAAAATTCACACGGCTGAAACGTGGGTTCGAGCAGGGCTTCCTTGGGCTTTACGTTGCACGTGTGAATCCTCTTGAGAAAAAGATAAAAAAAAAAAAAGAGAGCTTTCTGGAGCTTGGAGAGGAGTGACGGCGCCAGAAGTTGAAATGTAGCAGGAAGGCCCTTATAGGTTTGTGCAGTCCGGTTTGAGATTGTCGGTTGAGCGATCCATTTAGAATATTTTCTTGACAAAAATGGCTGTCGCTGCCACTGGCGGTCCTGCCCATCTACACAACTTGCTTCTCACGTTCAATCTCTTTTTGCTGTGTCACTCAGCTCCCCTGCGCCCTCAGCTCCGGTCGTATTCGGGCTTCGAGCAGTACGTCTGCCAGCCAGCGAACTCGTCGTAGCGATACGCCTGCGCCTTCTAAACGGAGGTGACCGGCAGCCGTCGGTCGGCTTGGCTGCCTCTTCCCTTTCGAACCGACTTCACACAGGGCCGGCCGTCGGCGACGCGGGAACTCGACTAGGCCGAGTCGGTGCTGAGACATAGATAGTAATAAAATACCGCTATCATTTTACCGTTCATAAATCAATGTTACAACAAAGCTACTACTCCTATTGCTCTCGTCCCCCGTTCTCCCCCGCTCAAAGGCAGCGCCAAAGAAGAAGATGCACAAGAACGAGAGGGCACTAGAAACCACATCTAGGCAGCAGCGCGAGACACAGAAGACGAGCGGCGGCAGGCCGAATGGCACCGACTGGTGCGTCAGTGAGGAGGAGTGGGGTAGATATGGAAGGATTTGAAGAGCGAATGACAACAACCCCATTGCCACCATCGTCGCTCCCGAAGATGACCCACTGCCGCCGTCTGTATGACAGCCAGCTTGGACGACGAACACAAGCCAGCAGAATGTGAGGAAACCGTGTCAGGAACGAGAAAATGGAGAGAGAAATGGGGCCTAGAGAGCCGGAAAGAGAGAATGCTACGAGTAGCGAGG